GTAAAGCTACTAAAGTCATTATACGGCTTGAGACAGTCGGGCAGAATGTGGTATAACCGACTAAGCGAGTTCCTTCTGAAGAAGGGTTACTCAAACAACAATGATTGCCCATGTGTGTTTATCAAGAAATCCACTGATGGATTTTGTATAATTTCCGTGTATGTTGATGACTTGAACATCATTGGGACTACACGAGAAATACATGAGGCATGTAATCATTTGAAGACGGAATTCGAAATGAAAGATTTGGGTAAAACCAAATTTTGTCTTGGTTTGCAACTTGAATATTTTTCTTCAGGAATACTTGTTCATCAGTCTGCTTATACCCAGAAGGTATTGGAAAAGTTCAATATGGATAAAGCATACCCGTCAAAAACACCTATGGTCGTCAGATCTCTTGAAAGAGATAAAGACCTATTTAGGCCTAAGGGTGATGATGAAGAGGTATTAGGACTTGAGTTTCCTTACCTCAGTGCTATTGGAGCATTAATGTATCTAACGAACTGCACCGGGCCTGACATAGCATTTGCAGTTAATTTACTGGCTAGATACAGTACATCACCAACGAAAAGGCATTGAGTTGGTGTGAAGAATATTTTCAGATATCTTCAGGGCATCAAAGATCTTGGTTTATTCTATAAGAAAAATTAAGAGAGAACCATGGTGGGGTATTGCGATGCTGGATACTTGTCAGATCCCATGATGCCAAATCGCAGACTGGTTTTGTCTTCTTACATGGAGGTACGGCCTTTTCTTGAAAGTCGACAAAGCAAACCTTAGTGGCAACGTCCACCAATCATTCTGAGATAATTGCTTTGTTCGAAGCAACACGGGAATGTGTATGGCTTCGCAGAATGATGAACTTTGTCCAAAGTTCAAGTGGGATTGGTTCGTTAAAATCACCCACTATTATCTATGAAGATAATGCTGCTTGTATTGCACAAATGTAAACGGGTTATATTAAGAGCAATATTACGAAGCATATTTCTTCTAAATTATTTTATCCCCATGATCAGCAAGAAAAGGGGGAGATAAGTTCTTTGCAAACGGAGTCATGAGACAACCTCGCTGATCTGTTTACTAAGTCCTTACCAAGTTCTCTGTTTCATAAATATGTAACTGGAATTGGTATGCGACGACTTCGAGACTTGCAAAATTCAGGGAAAGATATCTCCTAAGATATAACATGTTAAGATCATAAGATCATTAATATTGCACTCTTTTCCTTTATGAGTTTTTTCAAATGGTTTCTCATGTAAGGTTTTTAATGAGGCAATATCAATGCAAGCATGGACGATATATGTCATTTTCTCCTTATTTTCTCACTGGGTTTTAGAAGAAGTTTTTCATGGCATATTGTATGTTTTCTTCTTAATTTTTCCCACAGGGTTTTGGAGGAGAATATTTCAAAGATGACCGGTCTCAAGGACAAGCGAGGATTAGGGGGAGTGTTAGGATTTAAATTAATTCTGTTATTAGGAAAAATCCTCCCTTGTGTAAACGGACGTCGGTTGCTACAGGCACCCGTTCGACATTCCCACGACCCCCACGATCGGACGCATTCGTTCGTGGCGACGGTTCCCTATGTATATAATCCTCATGGATCATCAATGAAAGGTACGGTTCGATCAAATCATTCTTCACGGTTGTCTCTCGTCCAACAGCACATGCATAATGCATTAGCAAGTTTGTGATTGGTCAATACTGAAAAGAGTCTGTAAAACTCCCTATTTGTTTGTACGTTTAGCATTTTTTAAAGAAATAACAAGGAGTAGGTGGGAAAACTAATATGGTTTGAGGATGACTAACATGCTTCCACAAACAAAACTTAGATAAATCATTCACTTTTCAGCTTCGCAAACATCTCATCACTTCATCAGGACTCGCGAGGAGAACCTACGCGGACGCGGACACACACTGACTCGGCTTAGTTAACCATTCCCGCCACGGGCAACGCTGTGCCGCCACTCGCGACGCCGTCAAGAGCACGGTGAGGCGGCGGAGCCGGGGATAACCCGCCGACGCCATGATGACGCCCCTCGCCGCCGTCGTTGTCGTCGTCGCCTGCGTCGCAGTAGGCCTTGAGCATGTCCCCCTCCTCCGGGGTGAAGCCGATGACGGACAGCATGAGGTCGGCGGCCCAGCAGCGCCGCTCGATGATGCGGATAGCGCGGCAGCACCCGGGCCCCAGGTACGCCTCGCCGTTGAGGAAGAAGAGGATGATCTCCCCCGTGCACGACTTGACGTCCAGCAGCGTCCCCCAGCACTGCTGCTGCCCCACTCCGTCCAGCCGCTCGGCGAGGTCGGCCGCCCGGACGAACGTCGACGCAGCCGCCGACGCGGTGGCGGCGACGGCGAGCAGCACCAGGAGAGTGGGGAGCAGAGAGGTGGACGAAGCCATGATCTGAGGTCGACTCTAGCTGGTGCTACCGAGTGAGGAGGCTGACGTACTACTACTTATCATAGCAAGTAACCGAAACGTCAGGTTAGCGAAAGGGAAACGTTTGGGGCCGGGGCACCGGCGGAAACATTGGGCCGGTCTCCCTCTTCCTCGCGTCTCCTTCATGGGGCGCGCGGTAGCCCTCTTCTTCTGCCCCCTCATCTCCATCCCTTCCCCATCCCTTCCCCTCTCCCCGAGCTGCGACTGGGCCACCACGAGCTACTTCGCCGGCGGCCAGGCTCTCCTCGTCGACTGCCATGGCTGCCTG